ATTTTTTTATTATGGCTAATTAATAATATTTATTTTTTGCTATTTTCTCATCTTTATTGTTGAATATTTTAGTACAATACCATGAATCATCTCATATTTATGTTATTTTATTAAAAAATACCTTATATAGTTCGATTTTACTAGGATTACAGAAATATTTGGAGCACAAATTCTATGTTTTGTGTTATGAAGGCTTTTGATAAAAAAAAAAAAAAAAAACCCGAAACAACCTGAAAACCCGAGAAAATCCGAGATTTAAAAACCTGACTTTTATTGGTTTGGTTTGTTCTTTAGATTTAATAACCCGATATAATTAGTTTGGTTTGATAATTAAAAAATTCAAACTAACCCGACCTATGTACACCCCTATAGGTATTTATAAAATATTTATACAGCGTAAAATATGGAATAAAAAACGAATATTAGCAATATATGAATTAAAATAAAAATTGATAAAATTGCCCTCACATTCTTTAGATTTATTTATTCTTTTTTCCTTAAAAATATTCAAGAAGAAAGTAAAAAAAAAAAAAAATCACATTATTAATCACTACATTATATTCTTTGCATTACTAATTCCTACGCTACTAATTCTTGCGTAATCTATCGTGCATAACTTGTATTCAAACCAAAAACTACGCCTTATAACTTTATTCAAATACTTGAGTATTTGTAAGTGTCATTCGCTATTTATAAGGAAAGAAGAACATGTAAAAAACGTGCAACGAACAAAAGCAAACTATTCATTTTTTTCTCCACCGCATAATATCACATCTCTAATTTAGCCTAGGAAAACTACAGCACAAGGTGTGTAGGACCTACCACTATACGTCTGGGGACCACCAAAATTCAATTTATTACGCCTTTTCCTCGGTGCATATATCATCTTAAAATCTCTTCTTCACACAAATCATCGACGGAGGTGGAGAATAGAGAGTGGTATGTTGCTAGTTATGCATCGACGGGTGTTCCCAATTCTGAACATCTTAAGCAACGTACTGTGAGTTTATCGTTGAGAGAGGATTCCATTCCAGATGGACATGTGACATTCCAAGTCCTCTATGTCTCCATTGATCCATATGTACGCACTCAATTGAGTGGTCTAGATGATGGCCTCTCTCTTCCTCAGATTCCACTTGGCCAGGTTTACTATCTTCACTTCTCTCAGTCTGATTTTATGTGATGTTGTTAGACTGATCGCAAACTAAAAAAAAATAAAAATTGTTATATACTGCAATTAGTCCGATCGAACCAGAGGCAGATCCAGAATTTGGAGGCTCCGGTTGCCAAGCTAATCGATTTGATCAACTTTGAAAAAAACAAATAGTACTAACTATTTGTCTTTTGGGATTCTAATGGGAGCGAGGATTTTGAAAAGGAAATGTTGTTTTAAGTGTGGGTAAAAAAAACAAATAGTACTAACTAAGAGACCAAAAAAAAAAGTCAAGATTTACTAACAAAGAAAGATATGGTCAACAATAATTAAAGAAAGAAAATAAGGAGAACTGAATAGAATTGAAGAAAGAAAAATAAGTGAACAATAACATCAAAATTTACCGAGAATACGTGATGATGCAGCAAGTTAAAAAGGTTTTAAAAAGTTTTGTCTCAGTGGTTCGATCCCTTACTGCCAAGGAGGATTTATCAGCCATTTACCGCAGGCATCTTAAAATCTTTTGTTACTCCAGGTTGCACTCGGAATATTTATAAGATTTCGCAGATATGCATACATATATAGTTAAGATTTCGAACAAAGCTTGCGGGTGGTGTACCACCCCGCGGGCCTTAGTAGATCCGCCCCTGGATCGAAGGTAAGTGTGGTTTTAACCAAAGAAAATTTGTTCAAAAAAATAACGCTCCACTAAATAAAATAAAAAAGCAGTAGCTATCTTTTCCTAATCTAATCCTTGCTTCAGTAAATGATTTATAAATTTTGCGGAGAGATAAATGGTAATTTGAAGAGATATAAAGGGAGTATCAAAAATACCTTCAAAACTTATAATCATAAATATGTCATGACATTTCGGTTACTATATATGCATGTAAATAAAGGTAAAACAATAAATTTAAAGTTAATAATTGCATAAATTTTTGAATAAACAGAAAATAAAAGAGTGCCATATACATGCTTCAAAGGAATTCAAAAATAGCGAAAAAGAAATATAAGTATTCTGTGTGTTTACCGTTGAGGTATCCTTCTATCCTTAGATTGCGAGTACTATCTATTGTTTGATTGCTATCTTTGCTTCACTTTAATATCTTGTTGTCGTTGTTAGTATTTGTTGCTACTACTTCTTTTCTTCTATTTTTAGGTTCTATCGTAAATATACTCTTTACCTTCCCGATAGGGGTAAGGCTGTGTACACTCTACCCTCCCTAGACCTCACTTGTTGGAGTTTATTAGATTGTTGTTGTTGTTGTTGTTGTTGTTTGTGTTTACAGTCGACGGACTTTAATATCTGTTAAAGTTCTAATATAAATGCATAGCTCTAGTATGCTGATATTAATTAATAAAATGATACAGTGCAGGTGATAAGAGCATTAGGAATGGGGAAGGTAATTCAATCTAAGGACACCAAGTTTTCAGAGGGAGATATAGTACTTAGCCGTATTTGCCCTGTTTCAGAATTTGGAGTTATGCCCTCAAATTTACTTCAGAAGATTACTCCTGCAATTGGGATTGCGTTGCCCGATTATCTTAGTTGCTTAGGTATATACCTAATACCTCTCCTTCACCAATTTTAATTATCGTTTTTACAGTCATGAACTTAAAGCAAAAATCAAGTAATTTCTTTTATTTATGTGTAATAGGAATGCCTGGTATAACTGCGTGGGTGGGCATAGAAAAGATAGGAAATGCTAAAGCGGGATCGAATGTGTACATATCGGCTGCAGCGGGAGGAGTTGGAATTATAGCTGGACAACTAGCCAAAGTAAAAGGGTGTCGAGTTGTTGGAAGTGTTGGTTCAGATGATAAGGTATTATTTGTGTTAAATCCTAAATTATTTACTATATGATTGTTTGATATTACCTAATGTTCCATGCGTTTCATTTTATATGGCGATATTTAATTAGACATGAAGTAATTTAAGAAATAACAAAATTTGTGGCCTAATTAAATATGTCAATTATAAGAGTAAAATAAAAATTTTAAAGTAATTATTTTTGAAATATTAAAAGGTGCCTTATATTCAAAAGCAAAGAGTGTGTAATAAATGAAAGGTGCCCTTTTTTTTTTATTTATGTATATTCAATAACAGAGGGACTTATGTTGTCTAACTAGAGAATTGGAATTAATACATTTTTGCCTCAAAACTTATAGTATCAGACCTTTTCTCTTACGAAAAATCTAGGTTAAAATTTTACAGCTCACAACAACGATTTTAGAAGCTGTTTGGTAACTCGGTTAAATATATATTCTCTCTGTTCACTTTTAGTTTTTCACTTTTGACTTTGCATTCCCTTTTAAGAAAAAATAATTGAAATATGTATTTTATAATCCCATAATAATGATAACATTTCAAAAAAATTTAGGAAATGATATGGAGAGTAAGTAGTTAATTATAAGAGTAAAACAAGGGGAAAAAAAGATTGTTCTTCTCTTGATTTGCGAAAATAGATTAAGTGAAAGTGAAAATATATTTTTCATAAGAGTAAGTCTTTTCAACTGGAGATAAATTAAATTATGCTTGTAATCTGGATATATGCTTCCTCTTCTTTTCTCTTGGTAGGTGAAGCTGTTGAAAGAAGAATGTGGCTACGACGATGCTTTTAATTACCGTGTAGAGACAGATTATGATGCTGCATTAACCAAGTAAATTTCTTTGCTTCTTCAAAATATTTAGGTTTTTGGTAGTACTAATTACTAGCTAGTAAATCTTTTTATTTTCCTTGGACTACTTTTCTAGCGATTGACATGCTCATAATTTTTGTATTACCTCTTACAGATATTTCCCAAATGGGATTGATGTTTATTTTGACAATGTTGGTGGTAAAATGCTTGAGGCTGTTCTTAATCATGTCAACCACGGAGCTCGTATTGCACTTTGTGGGATGATATCCGAGTACAACAAGGTACCCTTTACTATTTTAATACATGTATAATATGTGTATAACTATATATAATTTATGTATACCGATCAAACAAAGTAAATGGTAAATCTGACCGGCTAATTGTGTAAAGATTCCTAACTTTTGTACAAACTTGGTCTTTTTCTTCATTCCGCTATTAAATAAGGACAGCCTGGTGCACAAATATTCTGCATTCATGCAGCATCCGAGCAAGGGCTGCACCCTAAGGGTTGTGATGTAGACAGCCTACCATAATGCAAGCATTAGTGGTTGCTTCCACAGCTCGAACCCGTGACCTATAGGTCACACGGAGACAACTCTACCGTTGCTCCAAGGTCCCCCTTCTTCCTTTCAAGCTATTGAAAAAAAAAACTCAAATCACCAATTTTTTATTTTTATTTTTTGGATTTTGCAGGTTTGGACAGAAAGAGAAGGGGTTCGGAACCTATTGAACATGGTGGGTAAAGAAGTTATGATGAAAGGGTTTATGGTAGGTTCATATTATAACCACTTTGAGGAATTCATAAAAGAGATGGAAGTTTACTTGAAAGAGGGCAAAATAAAATCCAAACACAAAATCTACAATGGTATTGAGAGTTTTTTGGAGAGTTTAGCATCTCTATTTTCTAGCTCTAATGTCGGTAAAGTAATTCTTCAAGTAACTCCTTAAACTACTTCTCCCTTTGCCATCCCTATTATCCTTGGAATAAATAAGCAAAAACAAAATGACAATATATGCCTATTTATGCTTGTTAGCTATGTTTGTTCTTTTGAGGAAAATGTTACACTCGATCTGTAAAAGGAGGTATAAGGATGGTTGTTTATATATTTATGTCAATTTGCGTTGATTAACAAAAAAGAAAGAAAGAAAAAAAAAACAGATTGGTGGTTGTGACATATGTTATAATCTCTCTTTAGAATGCTCTAAATGGTGTATATAAAAGAAATAGCTTTGACTAAAGACACAGACGACGAGCAAAAGTTTGCTTTAATAAAGTGGCTCGGGATAACCTTAAGATAGTGGGGCAAAGGTATGAAGGTACTGCAATGCAGCCCTTCCCTGACCCTGTGCGAACACGGAATGCTTTGTGCACCGGGCTGTACTTTTTAACACGCATAACAGGATAACAAACCAAAGGATAAACCATGGCAGCAGAAAATCCAGCTCCTTGTTCCATATTAAGTGTCTCATCTGCACCTTTAATTTTCCAATCAAAACATTGGATCATTGCACCAAGTGTCCTATGCAACACTGCTGCTGCAAGTCCAGCACCTGGGCATCCTCTCCTTCCTCCACCAAATGGCACATAACAGAAGTTCTGGCCATCTTTAATAGCCTCCAATTCATCAGGCTCGATCGCGAGGTTCTCGTTCAAGTTAAAATATCTCTCTGGTATAAACTCATCTGCATCAGCCCATGCATTTGAGTCCCTATTAACCGCGTAAAGGTTGACTACAAGCCTAGAATCTTTAAATATTTTGTAACCATTGATCACACAATCTTCCCTACATTTTCGGAATACTAAGGGCAATGAAGGATGCAATCTTAGAGTTTCCTTGACAACAGCTAGCAGATAAGGAAGATTTTGTATATCTGAATCCTCAACCAGTCTGTTTAATCCAACTTTTCTGTCAATCTCTTCTTGGAGTTTCTTCATTGCCTTTGGATGGTTCAGAAGCTCCGCTAGTGCCCATTGCAAAGCAACACTTGTTGTATCAGTTCCTCCCAAGAACAGATCCTATTAAATAAGGCCAAAAAAGAAGGGGAAGTTAGCCGTTCGATAAAAAATATTTACATCTCCTAGCCAATATACATTTGTTATACACTAAATATAAACAATATATACATTTTTTGACTATTATTTTGAAAACTGCCTTCTAACAAGACCTCGAGAGACAACCCATGGAAGAACTGCTAGGTAGGGAGCGAGCTCCTACTTCACTGAAAGTCTGATGAAAATGGGGGGCTCCCTTACTTAAGATTCAATTCATAAGGCTAACTTTATGTTGTCATGAGGCTTCGGGTGGACGACTATTTAAGTTAATTTCTATAAATAAATAAAAGAACCATCAACTGAACCTAGCATTTTTTAGACAGAGCATATGTATATATATATGTGTGAAAAGTCACTTAATTTTCAACTATTATTAAAATTTCAACCAAAAAGGTTGAACGCATTAAGTTTAAGCTTAAGCAGTGGATCCACATTTCTCAAGAGATGATTCTTACCAAGAAAAGACCCTTGATGCCATTTCTAGTGAGCTTCATCTCAGTACTTTTATCATCTGCAATTTCCAGAAAAATATCCATCATATCTTTCCTGTCTTTACTTCCAGCGCGCCTTTCCTCTTCGTGTTTCTCGATGATCCCATCCATAAACTTATCAAACCTAAGCAACAAAGCTTTGACCTTTCTTCCAGCTCCAAGGAGATCATATTTCTTCAAAGGACCAAACACTTCACCTAAGCTCAATTGCCCTGAAAGTAATGTTATTCCCTTAGCGATTTCTCTTATCTCCGCGCTCTCATTGACATTAGTTGAGGTTCTTGTGCTCATAGTCAGCCTACAAATAAGATTATTTGTCATAGCCATAAGTTGAACTCCAACATCACAAGCCTCCCTTTGTTCTGAACACTCGGCGAAAAATTCCAACAATTTCATCATTTCCTCCTTCCTAACATCAGCAAATTTAGTAATCTGCTGAGGGGAGAGAATCTCTGTCATACAAATTTTCTTCATAAAAATCCAGTACTTGCTATAATCCAAAGTGGAAAACAAGGTGTCTTTGTAAATTTGGTATTCTGAAGAGCCAAATTCTGGCCTAGCAGCAAAAATGACATCATTAGTCTTAAAAATTTCTTTTGCTATGGCGCCATTCGACACTATATATGACGATGATGCACCAGCACGGATTAACATGAATGGCCCATATGACCGATGATTGGTAATGCTAACGGGCTAGGAGGTTGATGTTGAATTTTCTTGTTTGATTGCTTGAGATTCTTGATAAATGATTGAACTATTATTAGAGCAGATACTAAGCAGATGATTAACAAAAGCAAAGTATTCATTGCCATGGCTGCTAATTATGAGATGATTTACACTTTTAACTTCTGTGTTAATTTTATGATCAACCAATTCGACCAAGAGGAGCTAGAAATGAAAGTGACAATTTATGCATGTTGTTTATTTAAGAAAAAAAAGTAGGAAAGGTATCCAATGTGATCTCATTATTTATACAAAAACATACTCCATCCATCGGCACATCCGCCCCAGATGCACGCTTAGCCGCATTGTTCATCTTGAAAAGAGCCGTTCATTTTTACTTGTATTTTAAAAATAAATTTTCACTTCTACTTGTCACTTTTAGCATATAAAAAAGAAGGTAAATTATGCATTTCATTTATTAATTATTACCATCAATGATTTTCATCTACAAACATGCATAAATATATCAGTGGCTAATGACAATTATCTCAAGCTGGGTATCCAATGTGATTTCATTATTTAGATAGCCAAAATCCTGCAAATGACAGCAGTAGTTAATTGATTAAGTTGATTAACATAAATTAATAAGAATCAGTATAACAATGAAATCCAGATTTAGATTGCTGAAAACAAACTAATCTTGAACTTGGATACTCCAATCCAGATTTAGAATTGCTGATTTGGGATTTTATTCACTTTTAGCCCGCGGCAGAAACTGTTTACCTTCGGTAGCCGAAAAAAATAAAAAAAATAATATATATATATATATATATATATTCGTCAATTATTTTGAGAGCGGCTATATAATATCGTTTCCCCAAATTATAATTGAAGCAGTCCAGATTTAGATTGCTGAAAGCAAAAATCCCAAAACCAGTCCAGGGCTGATGGTTCGTCCAATTCTAAAGCCCAATTGGGACAAGACAAGTTTGAAATCCACATTTAAACTTTCATGGTTGAAGGAAGATTACCGCCTTTGAGCAACATTCCAAGGCTCAATTAACAACTGTATCGTATAAATCCATAAATTCTCTATGATAAAGCATAGTGTAAATCTTATACGACTTTATCATATAAATTTCTAAATACCACAAGCTCCTTTCTAATCAAACATTAGCCCAAGTTTTTAAATAAATGGGCTAAACTTGTAAAAGAAATTGAGTTGCCGGAAAAAACTTTATGACCAAAATTTAGGGGGGAAATGAGAAATAATCAGATTTACAACTGGTGATTGAAAAATAGCAACAATTTCAAAGTAATCAAAATTTAGCCACTTTTTTCATGTAAAGATAAAATCTGAATAAAAATACCCTTAAAATCCGGAAAAATGTCAGCATAATATGCTGGAATACGAATTTTTTACATATGAGATTCTCGCATAATGTGGTGGAATTTCATAATGTGCTCGAGTTCCAACCTAATATGTTGAAAGTTTATATGCATGAGCTCCATAATCCATTGTATTATGCTGGAACTTTCCATGTACCCGTTCCAACATAATATGCTGGAACGCAGAAGCTTCAACTTTTTTTGTTTCAACAAAATAATGGCTATTTTTAATGACTTTGCAAACGCCGACGATATTCTAATTATCAATTCGAAAACTGACTAGCACGTGCTATTTTCACAAAATTTTAGACCAGTGGGATTAAGTTGTTAGGAACCGGTAGCCGTAAATTTTTCATTCTAAAATTGAACTACCAATAAAAAGGATTATGACCAAAATTAAGACCACTAGGTTCTAATGTCAGGAACTAGGGGTGTAAATAGGTCAGATTGGTTCGGATTTTTCAATCACCAAACCAAACCAACGGTGTCAGATTTTTAAATTTATAAACCAAACCAAATCAATAAAGTCGGGTTTTTTAATCTCAAATTTTCTCGGGTATTTCGATTTTTTTCGGGTTTTTAGATTTTTTTCCGGTAAAGTCTTAATAGCACAAAATATGTAACTTGTACTCCAAATATTTATTTTAGTCCTAATAGGATACAACTATATAATGTATTTTCCAATAAAATAAAATAATAATAATAATATGAGATGAGTCATAATATTGTACTAAAATATTCAATAACATAGATAA